GAAGTAATTTTTCTTTCTTGGGTTGTAGGCAGCAATTGTCCTACTTTGCCAAACGTGGTTCCATCCTTAATGAGGTGGTATTGTTATGATTTCCACATCAAAGAGCCTTACAAAGTTATGTGAAATTTATAAATTCAAGAGGCTCACTTATACAATAAGGTAGTCTTTGAAAATATGCTCTTCCCTTTAGACTTGCATATATAACAATGTGTGTGTAAAATTATTACACTTGCACCAATGCTAAGTGAAGTGAAACGGATTCGATTTTTTTTTTTTCAAAACAAACTTAAATATAAGGGGGAAAAAATTAGAGAGAGATACTGTAATTAAGCTTGATATACCAAATAGACACATCATAAAATATTACAGTTGTGAAGCAATAATTTCACCTAATTGTCTTCATTTGCCAAAAAAAAAACGTATTATTCGAAATTTGATGTTCAACCTTGTGCGTGGGACCACAACTGCAACATCATGTGTTCTCTAAACCCTAAAATCTGATAAGATGAAGAAGAAGATGCTTTCTCTCGATGCAACGCTTTGAACCATAAATGACAGACTCACCTATCAAAATCACTAAACCATTTCAAGAATACATTAACCTCAGTACTATGAATTGACATTATTATTATTGTTATTATTGTCTTTATTTTATTACAATTTTAAGAGTACTTTTCTTCCCTTTTGTTCCAAATTCAATCTCTAAAAGGTCTTCAAAACGCCTCCCCACACATTAGCTTAGTGCATTACAACTTCACCATTGAAGTTACATATATAAAAATCCAAGTTATTGAGTTGGGATTGATGTGGATTTATTTTGAAAATAACTTTCTTTGAAATGGGAATTTATATTTGGATGTGATGTGAGTGGAGAGGTCCATGTCAGGAAAAATCATTTACAATAATAATCACTTTTGTCAATGTCATGTTATCTTAGTTTTTTAACTAACACTAAACCTCAACATGAAAGAACTTATTTTATCAGAGAAATATCTTTTAACAGTTGAGAGATAAAGATTGTAGTTTTTTTTTTCCCCAGCCTGTGAACATGTTCTGGCTCTCATAAACTCTCGGATGCCACTTACCTTTTTTTTTTTGGTTGCCAAAGAGAGAGATTCAATGTTCTTTTTTCATTAAAAATTACAAGGCATGCTTTCTGAGGTTATGTGTTCAAAAATATAGATATTCTTAATGTGTAATTGATGGGTTTTCTTTTAAATACCCTTAATAATAAACAAATTAACCATACAATCATTCACCTTCAAGTATAAGATACTACTTTATTAAATAAGAGCAAGTATGAAAATATAATATCAATTTAAAGACAATTAATTAAGTTATTAGAAATGTAATTCAGTTAAAAATCTTATATTATTTTTTTGAGGGAAAATATATATATATATATATATATATAAGTAAACGTCTAATAACTAAAGTATTTGTCCTTCCTAATAACTATATAATTAAGCAATTTCACATTCACATAAAATGAGATCAAGCAACATGTTTCTGTGCCATTCTAAATTACATAACAGAGATAAGAGATATTTGTGATCTCAGTATTATCTTTTCCATTTCTCTATAAAATGTACCGAAGATATTGAATGGCCAAATAAATGAGTTGGTACACTAATTACCTTCTATATTGCAATCACATTCTTCCTCCTTTTTGTTGGTCTAATCTTAAAAGGAAATTAGCAAAATCATTCTCCCCCACCCCATCTTCTCATTAATTTTTCTTTATATTTCTATCCACTACCAACAGAATAATCTCTCTCTCTCTCTCTCTCTCTCTCTCTCTCACACCCACCTAACACACCAGCATAAATCGTTAGAAATCAAAAGAGAACATTAAAGAAATACTTTATTTTATTCAATCAAACACTCCTCTTTTGATTATGTTAATTATATGGGCTTTCATACATTATATGGAGTTTAAAAAGTAAATTAGTATACTAGTTAGAACTTATAAATAGTATTTTTTTAAAAAAAGTTTTATAGGTTTTATTAATGTTAATTTAATTTGAAAACTATCCATATAACGTTGCACTGATTTCAAAAATAATATATATATATACACATACTCCTATATATATTCCAATTAAATTATGCTACAGAATATTAATATATGTATATATATATATAGCTTAATACGGGATAAATATTTCAAATCATCGAATTATTTGCAAATTAAATCATTCGAATTGGTTCCTACAGAAATTATCCAGTGTGAGATGTTAGATATTGATTAATAGAGGGTTAAAGGTCATTTTTTTCTTCAATTTTATTCGAATGTTCGCTGGACATCTTAAACTTAACTATGAATTAATTATATCTTTCAACATTAAATATTCATTCCCTCATCATCTTATTGTTAACTCACTTCTATTCGCCATTACTAGGCCCTCATTCAATTTTTTAATATTTTTATATTATAAAATATTAATTTAAAAATCATTTTTATTCTTCAACTTTATCTTGAAGTGTTGGTGGGCACCATGAATTCAAATATTTTATAATAAAAAAATTGAATGACAAGGTGATGAGGGAGAGAATTTAAACATTGAAGAATTGACTGATGGTTAAATTTAGGATACCCAATGATCTTTCAAGTAAAGTTGAATGACAAAAATGACTCTTAATCCAAATGTATATTTTAATTTAATTGAGAGAGATCAACTATTTACTTTCAATATTTCGGGAGGAATAATCCCTATGCTTAGCAAAGCCGACTCCGTGTGCTATTAAAAGAAAATATTGCAGATAAGTGAGCGTTTATGAAAACCAGAAGCAGAAAATGAGTGAATGGTATGGTTGTTACAGTAAGGCATGGGCAGTGGGCAGCGTCCAAATGAATAGGAATCAGAGCCACAGAAAAAGCCTCTCTGCCGGCAGCTGAACCGTCCTTGTCTCACCCTTTGGAAAGATTCTTCACTCTTCAGTACATACAAACACTTTCTGTATTGTAATTGTAAATTATGAACAATGATTCAAAATATCTAAGTCCATCCCAAAATCCTTAATACTTGTTTGGATTATATAACAAACTTTTAAGACACAACTTATTTAAACTTACAATAATATATAAGTTTTACTCTGAGATGATGAAGTATAATAATGTCATACCAATACTAATGTTTTTTTTTTTAATTTAAGACCACAGAAAAACCATGCAAAAAATAAAAGTTAGATCATACTAAAAATTATTAGGTTTCTGCATCCTAGGAGGTCGTCGTAAATAACAATATTAAAGTTGACTTTAAGTGTCGATGAATAAAGAAATTGGCACACCTATTTTCTTCTTTAAATAGACCAATGCCAATGTTTTAAAACCCAAATTTTTGACCTGAATAGTTTTACCATCACCAAGATACAAAAGTAGCTCAATTTGACTTGTTAACTCATTTTAGAAATTGAATCATTTTGGTCTGAATAATTTTGACAAAAACATAGTTAAACCAGAAACCGAAACTATTAGACCATTTTAAACCTTTTTTTATTCTTATTTTAGCAATAAAATTTTTTATTCAATTGAAAATATTGGTGCCAACTTTTTTTGAGTTGTTATAGTAAAATTTTAAATACATGATTTGTTTATGATATTATATAAATTAAATTACAGAGAAAATTGAAAACTTATTTGCTTCAAAAGACAAATAAGGTAAATAAAAAGTATGCATATAAACAATGAGAAAATTAAAACTTACTATATCATGGCCAAACAACTCTAAACTATGAATAATATTATCAGTATTTTTCACTGTCATATACATGTGTGTGTGTGTGAGTATATAAATATCATTTTTATTTAATTATTATAATATTAATTTGACCGTTGATTTAACAATTTAACTTATGAGAGCCTTGACTTGCTAACCCTTTCAATTTATCATCGGATCTGATTTTTGAAACGTTGTACCATACAATTCACTTATCTCATCACGTTCAATGAGAAAAGACTTGTTATTGTACGTCAATTACCTAAAAGGACAGTAAATATTGAAGAATCCTATGGCTATATTTTGTTGTCGTCGCACCGAAAGAACAATAGGTAGCCCAGAATCAGGGTGGGGTCACGGTTTGATTTCGGTTCCTCCATATCTATGACAACAAGCGAGACAGACAGAAGACCATATTTTCTTCCAAGCAAATTCGAAGAAAACTATGTTTCAACAGATTTCATAACATTTGCTTCTCAACAGATTGACAGCTTTTTCTTCCAAAGTCTTTATGAAACCCCAAGCTGTGTGGCTGGCTCAAGATACTGAATCATCGATATAAATAATTTATCACATCCCCTTCAATTTCCATCAGTACTAAATTGAACATTCAAAGAGGTAGGCTATGTTACAAACACAATGAATGAAGTAAACTTTATTAATAGTAAGATTTAGATATAATGTTGAAATAATATAACTTTTAATACTTAAACTTTCTCTCAATTATCTATCGATTTAACATTTAAATTGACTCAACACAACTCAGTTTTTATAATTTATTAAATTAAAAAACCATGAATTGTGTCGTACGAATCAGAAAGCTACATGAACTACGTTATTCCATGTCAAGAAATTATAGGAAATAAGCTGTTCTGATTCATAGTTCATGAACTAATTTGAATCAATAATTAAGCAAAAAGTTTAGAGACTGATTTACCTTTTCCCTACAATATTATAAGAGATAGTTTAATATAAGAATTAGCCTACTAAAGTGTAAATACAACCTTCATTTCACAAATTTAATTTAATATAAGCTCTGTCAATAATAGGCCTTTGATTTTTAAAACTTTATTTTGCATTCAGCATGATAATCAAAAATCTTTTGAATTTGCATCTGGAAAGTGATCACTCTGATAATATAACATAACATAATAAGGAAGGGCAAGTGATCACTTTGATACTTTTAAAAAATTTTGATTTTTGCTGCATTTATAGTTAATTGTGTTGTGTGAATCAAACATTACCATCATCTTCGCAGGGAAAAAAAATGCACAGACGACATTAAATTTTTTCAAGAGATAATTTCCTCACAAACAAAAATTGTACATACAACAATCTCTCTGTCATTGAAATTTCAAGCAACACTACACACTATTTCCTTCTAAGACGGTCAGAACTATATTACTACTTCCTCATCTATCTACGGCCTATGCAACTTCATGTGACTGCTCCAGAGATTATCATATTTCAATATCATCAATATGGAATTTAAAAATCTATAGCAAAGCCGCACTATTCACAAATCAAGTACAGTGCGACTTACTTCAAACTCCATGCAATACACAGAAGATGTGTCTAATTACTCATAAGCTATCACTACATGCCACACATGAACACTAGCTAGTTCCTCAAAAGCGGCTGCCAAATTTGTAACTTGTTTTCCTGATACCTCAATTAGACCAAACACCAAAATTAAATACCTGGGAATCTAGATCCGTCATATTTAGCAGTTTTTCTATATATATATATATATATATATATATTCCTTTTTTCTTGGTATTCCTAATTTGACAGAGGAGGCCTCAAGGCCTGAGAGCAACGAAGAAGAAGATTAAGGACAAGAATCGAACACTTGACATCAATCTCACCTCAGTCATGAAGACCGAGACCCCTGGCATGTGAGCCATAAGCTCAGTGTCTCTTGTCTCATTGGCGCATAAATAGCAGTTATTTAAGCCTGTAAGCCAGTGGCACATAGGTTAGAAGTATCGGAATCAAGAAATGTCAATGATATTAACATTCCTGATAATTTAATTCTCAAAAGAAAACAAAAATCTAAAGCGTCCAGATTTTGTCACACTAAAATTTCGAGTCAAGCAAGTGCTTTTGCTTAAGTATACTCAGTATCCTAGATGGGCAAAACTGAAATAACCTGCTTGACAAAGAATTTTAGGTTTGAAGATTAACAGTTGATTGGATCATAAAGTTAAAATTCATACACGATATCCTCAAGCTGAGCTCTTATCAATGAAACAACTAGTTACAGTGAAAATAAATAGAGATTTCAAAAGGGGAAATAATAAAATCAACTTGCTCAACCACATGACAATGTAAACTAAATAAAACCTAAGGAGAATAAACATGTGGATTTAGAAGATCTAACTTACAAGCGGGTACTTGAGAAAATTGACATGGAGTTAGAAAGCAACGGAAAAGCATTGCTCAACTTTCCAGTTCATTCTGAATCCAGTCTTGTGAACACACCAAAGCTTGCACAGTAGCAGGATTAAGTAAACTCCAATCACGATCAAGCACCCTTCCTCGATTATTGAATGCCAATTCCAGTGGAACTTTTGACATTGGAATGCCTAATACATTTCGTGCCATCATAGATAAGACAGGATACCTAGGAGTGTGAACTTTCCACCAGTTTAATATATTGAAATCAACATTACGCGGAAAGAGAGGTTCTTCTAAATACTTGTCTAGATCCGATTTCACACCCTCACTTTGAGAAGTTTCATGAAGAAATTTGTCAAATCCCATCAATCTATCCCTGGAGTCCTTTGCAGGACCTGGTAGGCAAAGTGGACCACTACCAACTTGCCATGCCAAACCCTGATCAGGAGAAGCTAATGGGGAACAGATTGAATGTTCATTATACAGAGCCTTCACACCCTCAAATACCTCATCAATGCGACCAGCAGAAGTGCTCCCATAGATCTGTGGATAGTAATACTCTACCAATTTCATCTTAAATCTAGGATCTAACATGGCTGCAACTGCCAATACTAGGCTACATTTCCCCCAATATCCATCAAACTTGCTTCTCATCCTTGATGCAATAGAACTGATAAATTCATCTGAATTCTTGCACCATTCAATTAATTGCAACTTAATGTCACAGAGCTCAGGGAAATATATATTTGCAGTTGGATACTTGCTCCTTGTGAAAACATTCGTAACCTCTACAAAAAGCTTTAAATAGCTTGTAATTGCAGTTGCTCTCTCCCACTCAACATCAGACAGACAAATTCTGTGGGCAGAATCATTTTCTTGCATAAGAGTAAAAACGTCCCTGAATTCTAAGAAAACTTCCAGCATTGAATAAGTGGAATTCCATTGTAGTGGATTATCTAGGAACAAGCACTTCTGACTCTGAATCCCAACTTCTTTGGCCATCTCATTGAACTTTGCTTGAACAGTTTGTGAACTTTTGATATAAAGTATACTTTCTCGAATTTTATTGATTATTTCACTCGCTGCACCCAAAGCATCCTGAACCATGACGTGTATAACATTTACAGCACAGTGTATATCAAACAATTGCCCGTTACAATAAAGGAACCTGTTTTGTGAAAGTCGCTCACGAATTCTGATAGCAATGTTATCACTGGTGGAGCAACAATCCATCGTCATGGAAAATAACTTTCGATCAATATCCCATTCCATCAGACAAGTCATGATAGCTTCGGAAAGCATGTCTTCAGTGTGGGAACGATCCATCATGATAAAATTTAAAATCCTCCTCCTTAACTGCCATGATTCATCAATGTAATTTGCCGTTAAACACAGATACTCAGAAACACCAATAGCAGTCCACACATCAGCACTAAGGCTGATTTTACCAGGCAATCTATCCAATATCTCAGTCATCTTTTGTTTCTCTTTCTCATAGATCTCAATACAGTCAGCCTCAACCATATTCAAAGTCACCAGCTCAAACATTGGCTGTAGATTCTTTACAAACATTTTGAAACCGACATGCTCAACCATACTCAATGGGTAACCATGAAGAATAATCATGCGTGCAAGATCTAATTGACTCCGTCTTTGATCTATGTTACTGCTTCCAGCAGTGACAGTGTCATCTTTCAATTGGTCATGCTCATATTTAATGTTCACAAGGCTAAGGGCATCATCTTTCTTCTGATCTTGATCTAAATTGAAATTTGCAACTGCAAGAGATCCTTCCTTTCTCTTTTCCCTAGCTGTAATGTATTGGGCCATGCCATGGTTAGCTCTTCGTTGACATCTAATTAAATGGTTCCTCAAATGTGATGTTCCACTCGTACTTGAACCACTCAGTTTCTTTTTACAATGCCTACAAACAGCAAGATAGGTGTCACCTTTTTTAATCCGATCAAAATCATTCCATACAACAGACTTCAGCCTGCTAGATTTGACAATCACAGCATCCGACATGTCCATGGCATGAACCTGTCACAGAAGCATGGCCATTAATTCAATTAAAGCATGTTCCATTTGGAAGAAAGAAACCAACGGCATAACACCTTTATGCAGTCTACGCTGTGTCAACATGTTTGAAAAATGTCAGTTGCAGGGAATATTGAATTGGAAAAAAATAAAAGATGCTATCTAAATAGAAAAAAAACAATGCATGTAAGGCACATGAAAACCACATCTTCTTTCCACATCCAATTTTACATTTCTATTTCACCAAGGATCAATCCCTTCACCCCCACTGACTTTAAAACAAGGGAAAGGCATTTCTTCATTCTTCACCAATGCCACTCCTTTCTTTTTAGTCAGTCTAATGCAATACCATGCCTCCTCCTATTCCTACCTCTGCTTTGCAATCTTCATCTTTCTCCACCTCAGCTTCATCAGTGGACAGTGGTGTTCTTCACTTTGCCCTTCCCACATACTCTGTATTTTAACAACTTAACTGCCATGCCATTTATTAACAAACCATACCCAAAAAACCACAGCTCTCACCAAGCAACATTTTTGGCTGTCATCCTCATAACACACTCAAGGGAATCATAACACGGAACAAAGAAAGAAGAATCAAGTAGATTATAAAGGAAGAAGAAAGAGGGGGATTGATGAAGAACGAAGAGCTAGTAGATGTGGCTGTTAGTCACTCATCCTTTCTTCGTAAAGTCAGTAAGATAGCAGTCAGAAGCGATTGGGTCTTTGACAATACAATTGTCAAATTGAAAGAACAAAATAGCGTGTCAGTCATGTGCTTAACATGTGCAGAGAGTATGCTACTTTGATACAAGTTATGGGCCACATCAACACTAATTTAGTCCCAAATATGCAATCGGCAACATAAGACAAAAATAGACAGTGTCATAACTGAGACTAAAGACGGGAAACTATTTCAAAGCATTAGGAAAGTATAGACTCATTTTAGAAATTATTAAACTTAATGGACAATAAAAAATCTAAATAAATTATAGGGAGTTAGGGACTAACTGTATATAAGACTTATTCATAAATATTCATCTCCAAATAAACTATAGGGACCAAATGTATAATTAGACCTGTTCATAAATATTCATCCATTATATTATCACTAGAGCAAAGGACTTGAAGAGCGCCAAAGCTCTACAAATGGACCCCATATTTCTCAACAATTGTAAGTCAATAAACACACTCATTTAGATCTTAACTTCAGAGGTTGCTTCTAACCCGCATAATGCCAAGAAATATCTTAAGTCCCAAAGGTTATTGCTGCAACTGCAACTCAATGTACTGGTACAATTTCATAAAGGACATCGACAGAATTCATGTTGAAGGAACAAAGTGAATTGATCCAGTATATCAGGAAAAAGGAACCTGTGAATGGATACGAACAAGATCCAGGTGATGTTACCAAAGACCCTCAATCACACATATGTAATTTGGTTCTGGCAGAGGGTAGATATTAAACAGCAAAAAACAAAAAGAGGTCAAACTCACAACTGAAAAAAATTAAAATCTAGATATCTTCGAACTGTTCTTCAATCAAGTTAGCATAAGTTTGAAGACATTATCCAGCATATTTTCAGCGACATTCTGAGCTGCCAGAAAGGATTGGATAATATGTCACTTCCAAGACAGAAATCAAGGGGAGAAGTTCAAGTTACAAAAGCTATTAAAATTCAAAATAAAAAATAAGGAAAGAACTCCAGGGGAAGTCTTCCCCTCTCAAATTTTGCTAGAAGTCCAAAAAGATCATAGTCAAGTGAACTGATTCATAAATCTCATGTTGCAACCAGTCAACATGATATATAACTATAATTTACAGCACAAAATATCCAAAAAAATAATAAGGTGCAATGAGAGAGGAAAAAAAAGCTATTAATTAGCCTTGAAAATGAGCTTCAACAGGGATGAAATCTTTTGCTTTTACACGAATTTTGTTAACAACTAATACTCATTACCTTTAAGAACGGGAGAACTTTTCTGAAACATTGCAAAAAGAAAAACGAAAACAAGATCTAAGCAGCAACTGAACAGCTAAGTGATAATTAAACAGACAAAAAAAAACACCTTTTTTATCATTATCTGAGGGGCAAAGTAAAGATCCTTTAAAGCATAACGCACTACTATAATTTGCAGCAAACAAGAATAGAACAGGAATTGAAGGAACACTTAAATGATAAGCTGCCATCAAATGGCAATATACTCTGCAAGTTACGTAAAATGCATGAAAACAGACAAAGCCAATTCAACCAAATTGCTGAGCGAAGTTATATGCCCACATAAATCGAAACCAAAATATGTGAAGCTACATCAAATGGCAAGGTCAAGTGACTAGCGCAGGTGAAGATGTAATGGTGGGTTGACCCGCCTCGTATCGACACCGGGGGATGAACTCAGTATCCCATGGCACTGTTGGGATTTGGGGTAGTTGCGATCGAAACCCGCCTGGCCCAACTGATACAATACGGGTCACAACTGTCGGGTCAAATTGCCGATACGGCACCCGGCGGGTCTCGGATCGGAATCGGAACACAGCATATAATTTACATGAAACTTGGAGAAGCGGACACACAACCCCAATTAGCATTCGGATTCGGACCCAGAACCGGAATTTAGAGTTTAAAACTTGAAACACGCGAATTAAAACGGAGAAACGAAATGAAAAACAAATTGAATGAAGGAACGACAAAACAATAAGCGAAAATTAGGGTTTCCAGATCGTACAGAGATTGAAGAGGCGAAACCAATGCGTATGTTGCGGATTAACGGAGGCTCCGAATTAGGGTTCAGAAGCGCATCAGAGAGTGGAAGAGATACAGCGATAGCGAGATGATGAGGAGCTAATTGGAATATCGAGCAAGAGCATCCTTGCGAGAAGAAGGCGCGCAATGTGCAATGAGCGACCAGGGAATATGAAATTACCGAAACACCCTCGAGATGATGCTTCATGAAAACAAACCATCTGCAAAGACCATTTATTTAATGATATTTATAATTTCTCAATCTAAGTTGATTAAATTAATTTGATTTTATTTGATATCAAGCATTAACATTTAATGCTATTTATAATTTTTCAATTTTAGTTATCAATATCAATATTAATATAAAATACAAAACATGTAACAAATCATGTTATTAATCACAAGAATGATACTTTTTTAAATTAAAAAAAAGTTGTATAGTGTGTGAAGACTCGCCCAATTTTATAATAAGCTAAAATTAATGAAATAAAAATTTCATGCATGTCTTCAAGTAACATGGAGGTCAAGCAGCTTAATGTAATGGTGGATATAGCAATAATTAAAAAGATTGTAATAATCAACTAGTTTTTACGCATTGACCGATTAGAAAAATAATTTAAAAAAAACACAGAGATAAGATTGGATGAAATAAGTGCCTTGATATGAAATGGCTATTTGCTGAGAAAATTTAGATTATTTAGATAAAATAAAACTTCTCATAATTCTTCATTAACAAATAATTTTCTCTAGCAAATTATAAAAAATAAAAAATTATATTACCAATTAATTTGTGTGGTGCATGCCATGTCAAGACCTAAGCGGATAAGATTTTAATAAAATTTACTGTAATTATGCCTGCACTGATTCTTCTGTGTATATATATATATATATATATTTATTTATTTGTTTATGTTTCTTTAACTTGTAATTTAAGAGACAAAACGATTAAAATCCAACAGAAAAAGTGGCCCGCGGCTCGAACCTCGGGTGAGATGCATCGCTGTAGAACTTGCATTACTGTCAGTGGGGCCACAGCACATTTAATTAACTCAGATATTTTTTTTCACTGTAATTCTACAGTAAATATGGATTGGATTTACGAGAAAGGAAAATGTCGTTATGACATTGTTATTACTTATTACTAGCTGTGGTTTTATGAGTAGTTTAAGAATACCTTTAACAGATTTTATTTATTGTCATTATGTTTTCATGAATTTAAATTCAAAATTTGAGGGTAACTAATTCTCCACCAACTAAACCAAGCACCCTTTTTAACATATACTTACATATTTGGTGATGATTCTTATTTTTATTTAATTTGGTTATACATATTATCCACACAATATGAACTACAAATAAATTTAAATGGAACAATGGCCAACAAATTAAATTTTCCTTCCTTTAGCAAAGAAATTGAATGAAATTGTTAATTACATATAACCTTTGTCCTTGTCTACACATGATGATATATATATATATATATATATATATCTTTGTGCTTAGTTTAACTATACTCAAAAGTAAAATTATAACATACGAGTTTTTTCAATTCATTATTTTAAAATATATACAATTTGTTAATTACTCTGCAGATTAATTATATTAATCTTGAAAGCTGTTTTAATCCAAAAATGTAGATAAAAATAGTGAATCAGGGAAAGGAAATGAAGTGCCTTAATTAGGATGCATGAAGCTGATAAGCACGTGGAATAATAATGAAATCCCTGAAGCTTTCATCTGTACATTTATTAATATTAATTAATAATTATTAGTGGATAAAACAACAAATTCACCCATAAACTATGAGTTTAAAAGAGTTTGAAATCTTAAATTTATTTTTGATATAATATTCTCTTTTAACTTTTAAAAATGTTATAATTTAACATTTACCACTAATAAAGTTTAACTTTGACTGTTAAGTTGACCAAAAAATAATCTTAAAAATAACAAAAAAATGATTAAAGATTACAACCAAGGACTCAATAAATTTCCAAAAAGAACTAAGAAAATTTTATTAGTTTTTATTTTTTTTGTAATTTTTGAATTTATTTTTTAATCAATTAACTGTTAAATGTAATTTTTATTAATAGTAGAAGCTAAATTATTATATCATTTTCAAAAATTCAAGGAGAACATTGCATCAAATAAAATTAAAATTCCAAACACTTTTAAATTTATAGTTTAGAGGACAATCTACTTTTTTTACTCATTAATATCATTGTTTAAGCTTCACGCATGCATGTAGCTTCTTTCTTTGCGTTACGGAAAGGAAGACTCAACGCAACACTTTTGGGTCATCTCCTCCTCAAACATTCCTTGCTTTCTTCTTCTTCAACCTTGTCGCGTGTGTGTGCAATATCTATTTCATCACATATACATACACACAAATAACTCATAAGGCAATTTCATTGTTATCACCATCTTCTCCTTCTGAATCTTCCTAATCCACTGATCATCACCAGAAAAAGCCAGAAACCTGCTCAGCTTCTTCATAATGGGCATTCTTGCAACTATGGCCAGAAATATCGATTCACTAATCGGGTAATTATACTTATATTCATTGAAAATGATGGATCTATACACACACACACACACACACTGATCACTTACATACATGTTGATGCTACATATACAGCAATTATCTCGCAGCCTTCTCTTCCTGCAAAACTACAGCTAAAGAAGAAGTTTCTCATGGAATAATTTGGGAGGGGGAAAAATTTTCTTCATAGAATTTTGTGAGTTGTTTTGCCGCCAAAAATTTGAGAATATATCACAATTCAGGCAAGAAATGATCCGTTACAAAAAAAAAAATCTTGATTTCTGCTGCAAATTTTCATTTTGTGTGTGGCAGCAATAGTGATTTTTCATCTTTCAAAATCCATCCAAATTATTAGGAAGTCTATCGGTAAATTGTCCGATATAAGTTCCAAGGAAATGAATTTTGTATCTGTCACGTAAAAAAATGACCCAAGCGATTATTCTTCTTCTTATTTGATTTTTCATTATTTATTACTTAAAATGTAAATAAACACGTTATTTTTTTCATTTGACCATTTTCATGTGCTAAACAATGTTTCTCTTCGTTAATTTTAATGGATTCTAAATCATGAGAACCACAATTAAAGAAAAAAACAAGATTCATCTGGAATCAAAATACGAACAGAAATGATAGACTTCTTGTTAGTATTAAAGTATGAATTATTTGTTCTGTTCATAACTTTTCTACTCTCTATTTTCTATGCCAGACCTGGAGTCATGCTTCTGTATCCTTTGTAAGTAATTTATGATTTGATTCTCTACATCATTTTAAACATTTTATAATTTCTTTTATATATATATATAAAATATATATATATATATATATTAATGGTAAAAAAAATGAGTTTTTGATGATATAGATTCGCATCAATCAAAGCAATTGAGAGTCCCAGTACCTTGGATGACCAGCAATGGCTGACCTACTGGGTTCTATATTCCTTCATCGCCCTCTTTGAGCTTACGTGCAATAATATCCTACCCTGGTACGTTCAAACAATTTATTATTATTATTTTTGTAATGATAAATTGAACATATACATATAACTTAACTCACTGCCAATTGCATCCTTTTGTCACTATTTAAGTATATTAATTAAAGTTGATAAAAAAATTTGTTCTGTTAAAAATTACAAGACACTTTTAATTAATTTTCACCCACAATAAGTTATGATAATATATAAAATTACAACTTTTTCGTATTTATGTTTATTTAATTAACATGTTGTCCAAGTTAAAAAATCTTATTAATTAATTATTCCCACAATTAAAGGTATTTTTTAAAAAATATTAATTACATATTCCAAGACTCAAAAAACCTTATTATTTTTCAACGTAATATTAAAAAAAGTTTTTTTTATAATACTGAATGGAGGCAGTACATAGAGCATCAATAAAATAGATCATAACGATGTGGAGATCCATGCAATAATAATAAAGAAAACACAATCATCAGTTTTTTTTTAATGTCTATATATATATATATATATAATTTTAATCCTTGTAGTTTTTTTTAATGTCTTTAGTCCTTATAATTTCAATAAGATTTGATGATATTTGTTATTCAGGTTTCTATAGTTTGAGTGTTTTCAGTATTTTTAACTCCTATAAAAGATTATAAACATGAGACTGAAAATACCCAAAAAAAAAAAAACTATAGAGATTAAAAGAAAAATTTAATAAAACTACAGGAACTAATGATTATATTTTCACACAATAATAACAAAAAATAAAGTCTATTAATATTTAGAAACCTGTAACAATGTTTCTTTGTGGTTAATATATATATGGTAGGGTTCCGATATGGCCATACCTGAAGCTGGTATTTGGCCTGTGGCTGGTACTGCCAAAGTTCAACGGGGCAGCTTACATATATGACAATTTTGTGAGGCACTACACTAAGAATATTGCAACCCTTGGAATCAGTTCCAGCTATCCTGAACATCACAAGAAGGTCCTTCAGATGATGAGCTTTGATGCCAGAAAAGGTGTCGAAACTTATATACATCGATATGGCCCTGATGCTTTCGAGAGAGTCATCAGAACTGTACGTATAGATGTATATGATCATATGCTACACACACACAGACATGTGATGAAGATAATCTGTGAGAAAGTTTGACTGAAGATATTAGGTTTTCTTGATTTTGCAGGCTGAGAAAGAAGCAAGGAAGCACTGAAGATCATTTTGATAAGTTCATGATGAGATAACTAATAATTAATCAGCAATTCTGTTAATTATCAGTATGTTTTAGTTTTAATTTATTTAATTAGAGGAGAACCAGACTTGATTAATTATTTACTGTATGTACCTACCTTTCAAGTTATTTTAACGCAACGCAAGGAGTATTTTATATATATATATATATATATGAACATGCATGATACTTCAAAATCAATCTTATCTTGTTTCTTGTTTTAGTATATGTAAAGTTGATGGTGTTGATGATGATACAACAGCCATACATTTTTATCTAAAAATGGTAAACTATATGACTTATTATTCTTAGAAGTGCATGCATTGAACAAACTTATAAGGGTTGAACAGATCATTTCATGTTCCGAGAAGTGATTAGTTGCGCTAATTGGATTAGTATTTCTCACTAATCTCACCATTTAAATGCAGAATTATCAATTTTAGACACTTCTCCTATAGGGTCGACGCGGTTGTTCAACACGTGTCAGGAGCTTCATGCTATGGTTAATTTATCTTTATTTCTTTCTTTTTTAATTAGCTATCACTCGTGAAATTTTGTCCAACTTATACATGGCTTATAATAAATTAAAACAAGTCATTGGGCTATGAGAGGAAAAATAAAACATAACTACGTACATCTAGACGTAAATCACATTGAGATTACGTGTGATGATGGATAACTAGATTCTCGATGACACATGAAATTCTGGGGAAAATCATATTTACATAAAATAATATATCAATAAATCATATATTAATTACAAATATCAAAGTTATTTTCAGATTTCAAACCCAACTTTAAAAAAAAAAAGAATATTATCAGATTCTAAAAGGGTCATTATCATTATAATTTATGATCACGATAAACTTTAAAAAGAAACGGACAAAACATCGGGCTCCAGGATATCAGGCGATCAGCTGGAGTTCATTTGCCTACCAATTATTTTATGGTTAGGTAATTTTTTTTAATAAAAAACTTATTCTTTTTTTTTTTTTTGTGCAATCAAGTAATCAATCAGGGTTAGCCTATAGCTTGGCCAACATTGAACATGGATGGACTTCTCTCGATCGCGATATTATTTTAGAACTTAGAACTTGATAAATTATTGACTTCGAAATCACGCATGCATATGCAATTATTTTATTTTAAAAAAATGAAAAGATTTTTTAATTTGATGTTAGTTATACAAAACTATATTATTTTGTCTCCTTTGGAAACAAACTCAAGTTCCCTCCTTTCCAAAAGAAAAGAAAAGACAAAGGGGAGGGAAAAAAAGACTATTAATATCAGATATCAACACTCGAGTGAGCTTTCAAATAAAAAGAAAGAGGAATGAGAAACAGGGGCTCCCCTTGGTTTTTCCCCCCCTGGCCAAACCTTTGGGTTGTGTGTGTGTGTGTGTGTGTATTGTCTGATTTTTTGTAAGCGCAGTGGAATGAGAAGCAATATTATTAGAGTTGAAGGTTGGAAAAGCTAAAAAGTACAAATTAAACCTATAGATGTAATTGAAATTAAAAATCTCAATTGCATATTTGAAAACTGAATGTAAACTCGAATTGAAATCAAATCATCAACACAAACTAATTAGTGTTTCTCTTCTCTTTATTCTCTTTACATTCTAATTGCTCTTCTTTTTGTTTTAGTACTTTACATGAAACATCAATTATTACCCAATAGTTTGAACTCTCGCATTAAGTATTCTAGTCTAGTACGTATTTAGTATTTTTCAAATATTGTTAGTTTCTCTTTTATTTTAGATAAACTTATTCTCTCTATATTCCAAGCACTAACATAAAATTATGCTTTAGCCTTAAAAAGACCTTGATAAATAGGTATTAAAAAAATAATCTTTAAAATAATATAAACTTTTGTTGACATCTAATTCATTTTTTATTACGTTGTCTATCAATTTAATTAAGAATTCATTTATATGTTAAGGAATAAGGTCTTTTTAAAGTCATGTAGTTTAATTTTTAGTTGAATTAAATCTTAAATAGACATTTTTTTATTTATCAAAAGATTAACAGATGTTAAAAAAAAAGCGCAATTTTTAAGCTCGTTGATAATACTCTCTCCTGAAATTTACCCATGTTCCATGTAATGGGAAAAAACCTCACAAAAATCCATTTTAATCTAAAATGCTCAATTCGTGTCCCTTCGTAAGTAATTTTCTTTTTATGATAGAATTTACAGTGCCTAGGTGTCCTATTAACTGCAATTAAATATTAAATAGTTTAGTTAAATCCTGGGAGCAAAAGTTCAACCTAGTCAAGGATCTCCCACGACTCCGAGTATCAAGCTATCAATGGTTCTATTAAGTCAGATAATTTTATAAGTAGTCTTTCTCGTTAATTTATGAGTAATTAAATAATAAACGTGGCTTCAGAGATTTAGGATTTTATGTTTTATTTAGCTAGCCAGGGAAAAAATTACAATATGTGAGTATCTGTCATGACTCATGATGACTATATAAGCTAGGATATGAAGTTACGTGACAGGTGTATTGATGGCAATACCAGATAACATGGGCAAGAAAACAAAACACGGACAAAGAAACCATAAAACCCGGTGTTGGTGGCAAGGGGTTGGAGATAGCTTAGGAGACATAGTTGAGACCTACCAATAATCAGTATGGTTATATTCAAAACACATTATATAAATGCTTAGATCTTTACATATTTTTTTTGGTGAGCCACGAGAGTTTTTTCTTATAATGGTTTTTTTTTCCATACAAGTATAGTAACTAAAAATATGTCATCAAGATAAATGCGTAAATAAAGGGCATCACTTACTACATTAGTTATTCCTTCATATGCTTCATATGCTTAATATGCATGGAAGAATCTATCTTCAATTGCAAAGCTTCAAAATTTGCGTAGGTTTAGTCATATATGCATAGGAGGGGATCAATTATTCCCACGCTGTGTAACCCAGAGTTTAGCTGCACATGCGCGCGCGCGTGTATATATAGAGAAAGAGAGAGTAAAAGGTGGACGTTGCCCTAAAACAATATATTTTCCTAGCTTTTGTGTAATGTCTTTAGATTCTTTGTAGGGCCTTTACAGGTTTGAAGATGGTTCCTCCTTATAAACTAAGGGTTGCTGATGAAGCGAAAAATGAAGTAAAAATAAAAAGGAAAAAAACTAAAAGGAGAAATTTCCAAAAATAATCAATTTTATTATTATATTTAGGAGTTTTCTTCCTTAGCTTTTCTTCCTATTTATCTCCTCATCCAAACGAAGGGTAAGAGTATCCTCCATTCAAACTGGAAATTAATCTCTTTTGAGATATGGAGGATGGAGGGTAAATCTCCTCCATTATAACTATAAAATTACCGCGACACCAGCAGTTTCTGATACAATTTTCAAGTAAACTCTACATAAAATATACTACGTTTTAGCATGCCAAAAAATTATCGTCAAGTTTAGCATTAGAATGGCGAGATAGGCAACCATTTCCATGTCATTTTACAGATGCCAAATGTAAGAATACCTGTGATCCGAACGAGATATCATCAATAGCATCATCATCAACCAACGTCTTTGGGGATAAAAATCTGAAGTGGCCATAAAAGTTTCACAAATTTATAGCTGAACGATCAAAAAGACTGGGCGGTATTATATCAAAATTCCCACCTGTTCAAGCAACCTGGCAATAGTTGTACATGGACGATTCTGTTATGCTCATAACAAGTGGATATAAATATGAATACAAAAATTGATATCATAAAATGATATGACCTGTCTCTACATTCTATATACTTTTGTCAATTTACTCTGAATTTCTAGATCCCTACCACGGTCAGTAGTTGCAGCAATGGGAACGGAAGAGTGGATCAGTTTTGAGTTATCCTCCTCCAAATTTTGTGAGGGTGTTAAGATATGCTTAGCTCCTGGGCTTAGTCTGATAGGACCTGAAGATATCATACCAACCTGTTTAAGAGATTCAACACCCGGATGGCTTTTAGGATGTATACTCAGAGCCCCATTCTGGCGACAGTATTTTCTTCCACTATCCCCACGTGGATCAAGTTCAACTGCTCTTGTGTTCCGTTGTATTTCGGCGCTTTGGTTTCCTCGTGTCAGATCAGCCATACAACTCAAGTTTTCTTGCACTTCTATGTTAGGCAACATGAAAGATGTCGTGGAATCATCAAGATTAGCTGCAGGCCTCTTCCTGCTATTTTTGAATCCATGTTCTTCAATAGTCAGGTCATCCAACTTCACTCTGTCAGCAAAATTAATCACGCTTCTACGCCCACTATTTATAGCAAAGGATGGTTTAGTAACAAATGTAACTGGATCAGGTGGAGGTTGCACAATTGAAGTTGGACAAAGTGAGGTCTTCATTTGATCATGAGAAGTCAAATGATTCGGAGGATATACTACAGCTGAATGATTCACAAAAGGTGCAGTAAAATTTCCTCCCCATTTATTGCGAGGAGAACTGTTACAGCTCAGGCCAGAAAATTGCTGAGGCGTTCCAGGTGGCTTTTCATGAGCTGAGTTTAACAACCAAGGGGGAAAACTTCTATAGGATCCCGGAAACCAAGATGTTTGAGCATGTTCTTCAACACTTGGATTCGAGAAGGGAAATCCAAATACTGGTTGTGCAAAATTGCAAGAATTGGTTAGTCCGTCTGCCTGAGGACCATGTCCAAGAGGTTTAGCTCCAGAAGTAAAATGTTTTGGCAAGTCATGAGCTGCCCTATTGAATACTCCACATGATGTAGGAGGTGCCTGAACAACTGGAAGCAAACACGAACTAGCATTTCTACTGATTCTGAGGCTTCCATTTTGAGCTCCATGACTACTTTGCAATGCCTGATTGTTCTGGATTTTCACTGACTCTGAGATATTCTCAGTTGACACATGTGATGATGAACCAGAAAACAAATTTTGCTTAGAACATCTTCCCACGGGAGAATTTTCTAAAGCTAAATCTTTTGAGCAAGTCCTTCTTCTGGAAACCTCATCAGCCCAAGCATCTTCTGCAAACTGTTTCATGTCATGGCTGTTTCTACTTATCAGAACATCTTTACCCATCAATCGCATTGTTGGCTGGCTGGAACTAAGCGAAACAGGATCTGAACTTTCTTCTAAATAAATCATCTGATTTCCCTTTTGCTTTTGAACCTGCTTGTGTTGATTCTGCTCAATGAATGAGTTTCTCATTAGGTTCAACTCTGAATGAAGTGAGTAAGAAAAATGATTGGAAATGGAACTGCTATCAGAATTAGGCCAGCGAATATCTGCTGCTTCAATGCTTTGTAATTCAGTAACGCCTAACCTGGCTGGATAATGTGGAGATGGTTCTTCACAATCTTTTATGAGTGTTTCCTCGACAAAACCCCTCTCATTAATGCTTAAATGTTCTCGACTGACAATATTATTAACAGGTAAGCCACTGCAAGAAACTCTTGATGTACTGAAAGTCTGCGGCTGATTCATCCCAACTTTTCCACTTGAACTGAAATTAATTAATTCACCATGTGAATTCAGTGGCAAACCAAAAATGCTCTCATCCAAGCAGCTATTTCTTACATTTGCTTTCGCCAAACCAGGAAGGGAGAATGAGTTATCAACCATACCAGTTAAAAACACGTGAGGCAATGGATTGGCACGCAAAGGTTGGCCATTGTTATCATACTCTCCATAAAACTGTGATGGAAGCTGAGGTCTGTCATTAGATTCATTACATGAAGCAGAATAAGATGATGAAGGCTCCAAAAAGGTCCTTATACTTGCCTTTGAGTTTACCATGGAAATCTGATGGGTTGGATCCTTCCCATGATCAACAAACTTAACGGAGGAACTGAGAGCTTCAAAGTCACACGTTTGAGTATTTACACTGCAAATCTTCCCTGGTTGCGGAGCATAAAGAGTTCTAGGAGTGCCAGTGTATGAAGAATAAGGAACTGTAGTCATGTTGCCTCTATCAAAGAGGTGCGGACTTTTACTATCATGATGCGCAGCCTTCGTTAATGATTCAGACTTCTCTACAAGATGCTTTGACTTCTCCTTATTTGTACAAGACTGCAACAAACATTGTCCAGAAACTTGTTCAGGAGTAGTAGAAAACTTTTCATCTTCAACTATAGGACAGACTTCCTTTTTCTTTTTTATATCAGTGGAAATGTGCTCATCACTTCTGTTTACCTCCAAAAAAGCAGCTTCTTCACTTCCAGAGGGTAGCTTCCCTGATGCTGTACCTGGCACATCTGAGGATACACTGAACATGGTTTCATCAGATGAGTGACCAAGCATGTCATCCTTACCCAAAAATTTCACATGCCCGTCTGATATTATAACTTGAGTGTCACAATGGCTATCATCAGTAACATCTGGTAGATCCCAATCGTTTGAGGTCCTTTCAGAAATATCTTTCGTTTGATTCTTAAGACTGCCACAAACAGGAGGCATTTCCTTTTGTTGCTTTCCAACCAAGCTAGAGCTTTTAACTTTTTGCTTCCTTTCCACAGATGAGGACTTCAAACTTGATTTCTTTCTATGAGTTGAAGTATCAATTTCATCAAGTGCAACCCTTTCATTATCAATTGTACCTCTCAGTTTTCTGGGATTACTAACTGGAGTTTGCATCTTGCGCTTATAAGCAACTTCCTGAGAAAGACAAAGTTAACAGAATTCAATCCCAACTACTTGACTAAGCTCTTAACCATTTAAAAAAACTTGTGCCAAAATGAAAGCATCTGAGTCCCTGGTCCCAAACTTGCTAGAACAGAAATGAAATAGCACTAAAAGCTCTTAAATTCATTTCGATTCATGGTAAATTTCAGCTATATAAATAATATAAACAAGAAGACTAAAACCATATAGAAACCTCCACAGTTCAAAGAAGAGACACATGATGAAAAAAATATAATTTTGTTACCCGCTACTAAAGAACCAATCTAAGGAATGAGACAATGGGAATAGATAAGCTTTAATAATAACAAAACATTTCATCCACATAGTTTAGCCAAGATATGTTTTATAAACTGTCACCACAGAGAATATGGCAGAAACATCTAATATTCTTCCAGTAACTGGCAGTAACGTAATATTGCCTGGCAATATTCTTTGCCATATAACATTATCGCAATCCACAACATTAAATTGATATATTTAAATCATGGTGCACAACAAAACTGTATTGGTTTACAAGGCTTTTTTTGGGTACAAGGGATCATGATTTACAAGGCTTTTAAACCATATATAGCCTCTGTTCTATTGATCCCCAGTGAACCAAAAAAGATAAAACATAATTATAAAAAGTGAAAATGTGGATAGCCATCATGAAAAAGTCGTATGCCTTGATAACCAAAAAAGTTAGTTATTGCAGCAATTGTGAAAGGTTATACCCAGAGATTACATCTATGATAAAGAGGAGATATTCTTAAATGGCATTATGATCAATTTATAGGGAAATTGACAATACAATACATAGTTATCAAATTTATCTTTGACAGTTAAGGAAAATAATTTATTTTCCAAACACACTATAGAAGACAAAATTCAAACACTTCTGGTGACATTTTAACAACAAATTGACTTCAAATCCAATTGAATTTTTTAATTTTAGAGTTTATTTTCAAAAGTGATAAATTAATTCACAATAGAAAAGACTTTGAAGAGAGTAATCACTATTTATCATTAAAGATTCCCTTAACCAAAAAAACTTTTAAGTTTCTCCTATCAACTTTTGGTTTTTATAGAAATTTAAAAATGGATATGAGAATTGTCAATGTTTCATGGCAACGTATTACCAACAAGATCAACTATGCCATGTTCATATATAATGCAGCATTAATTTAATCTTGAGTTTTGTGACATAAATGCTTAAATGCTTTCCCTTTAAAATAATTAAAAACTGCAAAATATGCAAAAGAACTATCTATCGTATATTGATAGAGAAATAAGAGTAGTTAAGTTTAATTGACATAAGAAAATCATCCTTATAACTTGAAAGAAAGTCTACCGAACACTTATAAATAGGAACCGAATATCATAAAAAAACATAGCTAATAATTATAAGCTCATGTTTTAGCTCATACAATATTGTATAAATATTATTATAAAAACATCTCATAGGCCGTATATCATAAGAAAAAGGAAGTCAGGAACACTAAAGTGTTGCTTAGAAGAACAAAATTTTCAGCCCCCAATAACCAAAAGAAAGACCAGAAAAGAACTTAAAAATATCTAATCAGCCACTTTTTGGCACTAAATAATCATTCAAAGGTATGATTGTTTATAAGGACTACTCTATTCAGTGTAGTTATGATATAAGGATGGGGAAAAGCTACATCACGCATATTATGTAATAAAATATTACTCTTTTCTTCCAGAAAAGTAGTAACGGGAATGTTAAACATTTAATCTACAAAATCACAACAGTAGTTGTTCAAAAATAATGTAATAACTAATATCGAGAGTAATTAGTCTAAAATCATTAAGACTAAAAACTATATATTATACAGATGGATCCTCCGTATAGTCAGGCTGTGCCACCCAATTATTCAAAATGTCACAGCAAGTTTTTTTTTTTTTTAGTCAATTAGTCTGCTAATATCCTGGGAAACACTTTGCAGTAAGATCATCCTAAATCACCATAGTGAGACCATGATTAACCCCTAGGGTTACAAATATGAAAACCTCCACAGCCAATTTAATTCAGCCAGCACAACCATATATACATTATAACTGGTAAGTCTTCTCTTCCCTGGACAATATACCCTACTACCAAGTTCTTTTAATCTAAAGAACACTTGCTCTGATTGCATCTCAGAAATAAATTCACTTAACTTTTTCCTTTGTGGAATAATTCACTCAAGACATGAGTGACTCTCACTAAATAACTAAACTAATTAACAAAGTTCGCATACTATTGGTTCCTCAACTAATCAAAAGGAAGTCCCACATAATAATAAGTTGGAAGCATGGCAACTTAACCAGCAGATTATGCGAATCAAAGCCACCATGGCTGGCACATCTTTTAGAATGAAATCAGACTATTAGGACCATTAATTTCACTCCTCTCTGCATATATAACATTTTCCAAATCATTATTAGATAGGTTGCCTCTGCCACTCACTCACTTCATTAATGACTCATAAGCCCTGACGAGTAAAGCACAACGGCACTGGAGAGGCTAGTGTTCATGTGATAATGTTCTATATAACTCAAACCAGTTATTTTCAAATGAAATATCCATATCCACTGCGTTTCCAGGCATTCAACAATCTGACTCACCACACGAACGTCAACAGTGTCACTCAACAAACTCAATCATCATTGTAAATAGACAACCTCTCAAAGTCTGAACCTTCACTTAATTCTTCACTAGTCAAAAACTAGGTCTTCTCCCTCCGGCGTTTACATTTCACCAATCTTTTATCAGAAATGTCAGTCGTACAAGACGAGATGAGAAAATGTTCGTTACACATGGTCCATGAAGATTCCCCCCATTTTAGTAGCCAATAGGGCAAGGACAGAAGAACCACAAACCATAATCTCAGCTCCTCTTCTTCGTAAACCATAAGTGGCCCCTTCAGGTCACCTGTACTGAGCACCAACAATACAGCTCCCGCTGGAGCAACAAAATTGCAGTCCCTTCATTACCTGCTTTATTTTTCACCTTGATATTTTCTGCTGTTCTAACTTTTTCATCACACAAGTACTAACATAAACCACAGTTTTGTTCACAAATATGTAGTTGCCTCTCTAACCAGCTTTTTCAGCAGTAATTTTATGCAGGAAAAGCAGCTTGGAGTTAGGAAAGCTATCATTCCATGAGAAAAGCAACAATATCACCACCAGACAAAAGAGTTCAGTAACATTTTATGGCAAATATATCATGAATTCTATAGGTCGTTCTCACGAAAGAGCTTAAAACGATGGAACTAGCCTATACATGTGGAAGATTAACTATATTTTATGACATAAATCGCATACCTTCTTTGCAATTAACTCGTTCTTTTTCTTCTTTTTCTTTTTCATCATCATCTTCTTCCCATTGTTCACTGATTCAACCCTATAATTTTCCTCCATGCTTTTCTTCTTTGGCTTCTTCATTCTTTTCTTTTTCCTCCTGTTTGTACTTTTCTTGCTCTTGACTGTTGAAACTACGGAAACAGCCTCAACCCCACTTGAATCCACACCCTTATAATCATTTTTATGCTCCCTTTTATTCTCCTCCTCATCTTCTTTGTCGAGTTCAAGTACCTCACCATCCGTCGCTTTGATCTGAGGTGCCACCGTTAGAATCTCAGCAATCGACCGCTTTTTGGGAGCCTTGGGTTTCGTCTTAAAATTCATCTTCATATGCCGACGTTCATCCCTCATCGCCTGCGCAAGACAACTGTCGATGTGAGCATTCACCGCTGTCACCGTTGCGGCGTTGAAATCCCGACAAACAGGACAAACCATATCCGATTTTTCCTCCTCCGCAGCAACTGAAGTCCCCGATTTCACACATTCGGCGTCATTTCCAGAAATTTCACCGTCTGTTTTGTTGGATCTCATTGCCTCGAGCCGGCGAGACCACCACTTGAACTTAGTGACCGTTATAGACACCTCATCTGGATTCTCACGAAACGGCCAGAATTTCAAAACGGATTCAATCTTTGGCTGCTCCTCCTGCTCCTGTACTTCAAAAATCTCAGCAATGGACCGTTTCTTAGGCGCCTTCGATTTCGACTTCATCTGCCGCCTCTCCTCCCTCATCGTTTGCGCGAGACATCCGTCGATGTGCGCGTTTACTGCCGTCAGAGTGGCAGCGTTAAAAACTCGACACACCGGGCAAACCATCTCCAACCTCTCCTCCGATTTCACAAATTGATCGCCATCGCTTCTGGAAATTCCTTCATCCAACGGCTTCTCATCGTCATCGCGATCGGATCTCGAAGCCTCAACCTCCTCGCCGCAGCTCTGAGCCTTCGGAACAACCATGGGAGGAAGCCAAGACTCCACATCCTCTCTGGATACATCATCGGTACTAAAGGGCCAGCACTTGAAGATGTCGATGGACCTCATCTTGGAGGTATAGTCCCTGCGACAGATAATCAAAAACACACAAAATTAACTAAGAATCAAAAGTCGCAGTAATAGTAATAGAAAAAGCGAAGCAGAGTAAAAAAGAAGGACGGAAAAAAAAAAAGAGCAAAGATCTATTATGCCTTATGGAGAATCCATCGAATGCAGCGTCCATGATCGGTGAGAGACAAAGAAAGGAAGAAGAAGAGGAAGAGGAGGAAGACCCAGCAGGAAGTAGAGAGACGGAAGGACGGAAGGCTAAGGCGTGTGGAGACTGAAGAGTGGCGAGGGAAGCAACGAGGCTATGAGAGAGAAAGAAGAGATAGAAAGATGAGAGAGAAGAGGCAAATGGCAATAATGTTTCCCGCTCGATAGAGAGAGAGAGAGAGGGAGAGGGGATTTCCGTAGCGTTTTGCTTTTTGGGCTTTGGCTAATTTATGACTGAAAAAGACGTATGAAAGAGAGAGACAGAGTATCTGTAAGTGTGTTGAGTGTGTGGATAGAAGGTAAGGCTTAAACTTGAGATTAAGAGGAGTGACTCGACTCTTATTATCAGATACGACAAAGAGCGAGCGAGTAATAGTGTGTATTAAAGCGAACAATTGGGACTTACTCTTTTTAATTATTAGGATTAGGATAATTTTTATTAGTATGTTGCTCTGTATTGTATTATTTAAGTCCTGTTTTTTTCTCTCTCTTTTATTTTCAAGGCTTCGATGGTCTGTATCTGTACATTGCACAGAGGGTGGTGTCAATTGTATAATAAATAATATAGTATAATAAATAATATAATATAGGAAGCGGAAGTGGATTTTATCGTGTGTGTCCACGCTCGCATAGTCAAGAGAAACAAAGATTCTGCTGCAAGTGGATAAACTTTCCTACGCGCGACATCCTGGCCTCGTGCTCACGCGCGACATTATTTTTTTGCTTTTTAACCTATAAAAAAATGTAGTAGCTATTAATTTGTTGAGTTAATTAAATGAATGTATCTCTCAAAAATTAATGTGTTAAACTTTAATTTAAAACTTTAAATTTTAATATATTAATATATTTTTTTATTGATGGGAATTTTACATGATTGAGATAATATTTATTTTCTTTAATTGACATATTTAATATATAATTATATTTTTATGTGACCAAATAATAAAAATTAAATAAAATAAAAATATATTTTTTCACCAAAAAAGACAAATATATTTTTATTATATATACTCCCTCTATTAAAAAAAAGTAAGGCATTTTTAACCGAATCTTACTTCTCTATAATATAGTTACTTATTTTCAAACTAATCCTATCTTTTTATATTTACTCATATTAAATATTTTATAATAAATATAAAGTCACTATTAATAGGGATACTTTGAAAAAAAAAATTATTATATCTCAAAATATTAAAAATGCCTTAGATTTTTAAATATCTAACTTCTTAAAAAATATCTTATATTTTTTAACAGAGGAAGTATGTATTTTTTTATTAGAAACAATATTTTCAAGTATATAACATAATATGCAAGTTCTTAGCTCTCATTGTTTTAAACAATTAATAAAGGGAACGTTTGAAGTTCTTTCCATTAGAATATGCTAGTGTAAGGAATTAAAAATATTCATATTTATTCAAAAAAAATAGAAATATCCATATTTAAAATATATTATTTTAATCAGATTTAACATTAAATTGAAATTCTGTTTGTGTTATTTAATATATATTTAAGACACATGACATGATTGTTGAAATAAATATTACTAATTATTATGCAAATCATTATTAGTACTACTATATTCAATAATCTCCACTAATAAAATATTTCTTTAGCTGTTAACCTATGTTAGTATGTCACAGTGTCACACCAACGATACCCGTAGCACACTGCCACTTTTCAAACTAGTTGTCGTTGTTGTTGTTTTGCCAACTCAAGCTAAACACAACTATCATGAAATACGCTTCTTTGAAATGATTTTATATCTTTATTCACATATTATATATAAGATTTTGAAAAGGAATTTATTTTGTTTGAAACTATGATACACAAAAAATATAATTGAATTTAACGACGTCGTGATCCTTTTTATCCTCGTGTAATAATAAGAATTTAAGAAATGCGAGCAGTTTCAATAATGTCTTGGGTTTAAAAGTTGGCCGCTACGTGTCAGCGGGAAAGAAATTCATCTCAAGCACAACTCTTCATCGCATATATAATTTATGCATTATCTTAATTAACTTTATATAATATAGTGATGATATAAGGACAAGGAACGGTATTGCACGCTAGCTTCATGCAGTGAGAAACTGAAATATGTCATTGACTAATAGTGATAGATATTATAAACTAAAATAGTTAAGTTTTGCTGGAAATCTACTTTGGATCGAACCTGCATGAAATTTCAATTGATAATCTCAAATGTAAGATATTAACATTGACAGTGTACATTAAACATTCTAAGTCGATGTTTACTTTTTCATTCACATTTTGATGTATTCAAGAAAAAAAAAACATTTTATTTGGCCAAGAAAAAACATATTTGCTGGAACATGACATAAAACTATATATACGGGTTATAATTTTTTACATATTACAGCTTACTATAAATTCGGCATGGAGTGCAAATATATAATTCAAATTATCTATGATTTATGTCTGTTGTGGCTTATAAATTTTATATTATAAGAGCGCATGGAGATAACAGCTTAATGTTGCTTCACATTGTTAAATGATTGATTCGTAGATTAACGTTGTCCAACAATTTTTTTAAGGTCATCAATTATCAATTCAATTGCACGTAAAAATTAATCAATATCAATAGGTGTAATATTAATACAAACCAGTGTAAAAAGTTTTTTTTAGCAGCAATACACACACGAATATTATAAAAAGATAGATTTATTTATGAGCCACAAAATAATGAGTCCCACACTGTGGAATAGTATAGAAGTAATTTTTTTTATTCAATCTTTTTTTGTGAAAATAATTTTAATTTGGGCCATTGAATTGTCAAGTCCGTTGAAAAAAATGATGCAGAACAAGATAAGAATCTTTGTTGTAGCGAAAATAAAAATAAACATAAGAATCTTTGAAGTGTGGTAAAGATGAAGAAAAAAACAATCATCACTCCCACTATCTTCAAATTCGAAATTTCCACCGCAAGAACGTAGATTCCCAGAATAGCTGTGGCCAAGATGACACTCGAATCAAACCTTTATCTTCAAACTCCTTTTTACTCTTTTACTTTTTTGTTTTTTTAAAAAAATCAATATTGAGTATTAATCAATGATAAATATTAATTGGTTTTAAGACGGTGAAGATAAAGTAAGGTGGAAAATGCATAATACAGATTAATCCACTTTATCAAAAAATTACTACATTTAATTTACGTGACTCAATGTATTTACTTAGTTCTTTCACTAATCCACTTCTGCTCATGCTTAGCGACACTCTTTCATCATTCAACATGTTTGTCTTATACATCTTATAGAGTTCAAAAATAGATTGCACTATTATAACTTATAAATAATAGACATATTTTATTAAATCAATAAGAAAATATATAGCAAAATTGTCCATAAGTTTGTTACCTCCTCTTTTAAATAATAATAATAATAAAATCAATAAAAATTAACTTTGATAAATCAAATTGATAATTAAAACAATCTTGAAAGACCAAAAATTTTATGACCTCCAAATATAATTTTTTTTTGGCGCAGGCATAATCTCAAGGGATAGAAGAAGGGGAAATTGGGATAAAATACTCCCTCTGTTAAAAAAATTTAAGGTATTTTTTAAAAGATTAAATATTAAAAAATATAAATTATTGTTAATATTTTAATGTGTAATCATTATATTTTTTTAAGTATCCATAATGAAAAATTATTTTATATTTATTTTAAAGTGAAACATCCTATTAAATAAGAAAAAATATAAAAAAATAATGTTAATTTAAAAATTAGTAATTACTTTATTAGATATGAGATTCAATTAACAATATTTATATTTTTTAATGAAGAAAATGCAAGGTAAAATAAAAAAATTATAGTCCCAAATGCTATGGATCTATATTAAAATCAAAATAATGGTATTTGTATAATTGTACATTGTTTTTGAAATTAAAATAAATGGCAATGATAAATTATTAAAAGTCAGAAATAATATTTAGAATCAGAAAATTAAAAATAGCTAGGTTGGGGGCCGATGAAAAGCATAGGAGACGCGCGTGAGCAAGTTGTGGTGGCCAACGAGTAAAAGCAATTAAGTACTTACAAGTAACAAGTTGCAATTTACACCACATGATTCCAGACTTCAGAAATTTTGACGGGGACGTGATGATGATGACCCTGTTTTTATATTTTTTTTTTGTTGGTAAATAAATTTATATTATTAGACGTGTTCTTCTTCACTTTCTCTAGCTTTTTTCTTAATATATTACTCTGTTTGCCTCAATTTAGTGGAAAAAAAAAACTAAAAACACATTCTTGCAGTCTTTTTATGATAAATATTTGTTCAGAATAAATTCAAGAAGGTTTGCCCCTGCTCCCTACCTTCATTTTTTTTTTACTTTGAATTATTTTGATTGATTTAGTATATTAAATATAGAATTTTAGTTTAAAATAGTTAATTGTCAAAAAATAAATATAAATCATTTAAAGTTGGTATGGGCAATTAAAAAAGGAGTTCTAATGTTATTAAGGTATTTCATTTTTTTTTAGAAAAAGAGCAAGATTTATTAATCACCATAAAAACATTATAATCAATAATAGTCAAAAAAATACTTAAAAAATCTAAGATACACGTAACATGCAACTTACAAAGCAAAATAATAACTGATAAAAGTAGCAATATAGTTCAAATATAAAACCAAAACAATACATTAATCAATGTCCTCTTTATTATAAGAGGAACCAGCAAAAGTTAAAAAAAAAAAATAGGACAATTAAAAGCTTCCAAATCAATAAGTGAAAAGCCAGACAAAGAAGATGTAGTTATAAATAGCTATTTTATTAAATGTAATTTCTTAAAGCCCGTCACTATTAAAAAGTTAGGAATTTCGTTACCTTGACGAGCTATAGAAACAAATATTCTTGTAGGATTCTTTAGTTGCAACTGTATTGGCTCCCTTTCGTTGCACACAGATTTTACATGACGCAATTGTCTAAATGATCAAAGGCATCTACAATTAGAATATGAGGCATGTTTATAAAAATGTCCTCTTCTTTATTTCTTTTGGCGATATTTAAATGCCAGTATCTTGGCAAGCCACAGAGGAGAACCAAACCTCCTTGCACAATTCTTTAGTTACAATAATATCTTTCACAGTTTCAAAACATTGCCAATCACAATCATAATCAAGTTTACCTGTTAACATTCGAAAGAAAATCTCAT